TGTAGCTGGAGTCAGTCCGGGCGTCACCCTCCCAGGCCAGGTGGAAAATCAAGGCAGGGAGCAGATCTTCTAGGACTCCCAGCCAAAAGAGCTTGCCATCTGTACCAGAGGAATGGACTGAATTGTGTTTGGTGGGGAAAGCCTCCTGGATCTCCCTCGGTGGCCCCAGGGCTCATTCCTATTTCCCTCAGGGAGGGGTGGCGCATGTTTTGCACGATAGAGCGCAAAACGCCAAAAGGAGGAACAGTCCTTTCAGGTGGTTTCCCATCGCCTGCTCTGCTTCTCCAGAAGGGAGTGGCAGATTTCCCCAGCTAGATGAGTCTTCTCCTGATTTTATTTTTGATTTGTGCTCTATTTGAGCTGCCAAACCATGTTCCCCTGCTCCTTTGCGGCTCAGTTGGCATCTCAGCTCTCTCTCGGGGGCCTTTCCCAGGGAGTAGAAGGTGCTGATACGTGGCAAACTCAGTCGACCGTCACTACATTTCCAACATGAGATTGTCTCTGGCTGTGGAAGACAAGTCGGATGAATCTTTGCAGAAGCACCTCCCAAATATAGTTTGCTGGGATTTCAGGATTAGTATCCCCTTGGTAAAAGGTAAAGGGACCCCTGACCATTAGGTCCAGTCGTGGCCGACTCTGGGGTTGCGGCGCTCATCTCACTTTATTGGCCAAGATGGCCGGTGTACAGCTTCCGGGTCATGTGGCCAGCAGGACTAAGCCGCTTCTGGTGAACAAGAGCAGCGCACAGAAATGCTGTTTACCTTCCCGCCAGAGTGGTACCTATTTATCTACTCGCACTGGCGTGTTTCAGACTGCTAGGTTGGCAGGAGCAGGGACCGAGCAACGGGAGCTCACCCCATCATGGGGATTCAAACCGCCGACCTTCTGATAGGCAAGTCCTAGGCTCTGTGGTTTAACCCACAGCGCCACCCGCACCTCCCTCCTAATTCCCTCAGGTCTTGGGCAGGGTGATGCAAAGATGCCTCGAATTCCACATCAGGGTTCTTCCTTGTGTGTAGAATCAGGATTCCCACTTCAGTTCATGGAAAGCTGAAGTTGCCACCTGGCAACTTGGGGAGGGCAGTGGGGATGTGGGGCAGAGCAGAGTTAGAAACTCAGATACATAAGCTAGGTGCCAAATGGCTCCTTAAACCAGGGTTACAGTCGCCAAAACAAAATGCCCAGTTGCCATTTTGGGGCCAGACAGTTCGAAAGTTGTATTTTTCAATGTGACGTTTTGGTTCCTGAAATTCATTCTGATTGTGCAGATAACATTTAATGGATAGAGTTCTACAGGATGTGTTGCTAGTATGTGTGAACGGTCAAGATCCAAAGACCCCCCAGGCACGCACTTTCATATGATGCAGATGCCAGCCACCTTCACTTGGTCGCAAGTGATGGATAACCAGGTGCACAATGCGCCTGGCGAATTTCAAACACTGGAGCAGAGTTTCTGCGCTCACCCCACAATGCTGTGCATTCCTGGATTATAAGCAGGCTCAGCTGTCACATACAAGACTAGGTTAGCCTTCAGCAGCTTTGCGCCTGATGGGCATCTGCTGGGAATGATGGAAATTGTAGTTCAAAATATCTGGAGGGCACCATGTTTGCAAAGGCTGAACTAGGTAGCCTTATCCTTCTGCGCATAGTTGTGTGCATGGCGTTATGGACCCTGTTAGTCTGCGGTGTCTTTTTCCCTTGCTATTTCCTTGACAGGGTGTGTGATGTGTTCATCTCCCCAATCCATGCCTCTTCTCACCTGCCTTTCCACCTAGAATCATAGAATCATAGAGTTGGAAGAGACCACAAGGGCCATCGAGTCCAACCCCCTGCCAAGCAGGAAACACCATCAGAGCACTCCTGACATATGGTTGTCAAGCCTCTGCTTAAAGACCTCCAAAGAAGGAGACTCCACCACACTCCTTGGCAGCAAATTCCACTGTCGAACAGCTCTTACTGTCAGGAAGTTCTTCCTAATGTTTAGGTGGAATCTTCTCTCTTGTAGTTTGGCTCCATTGCTCCGTGTCCGCTTCTCTGGAGCAGCAGAAAACAACCTTTCTCCCTCCTCTATGTGACATCCTTTTATATATTTGAACATGGCTATCATATCACCCCTTAACCTCCTCTTCTCCAGGCTAAACATGCCCAGCTCCCTTAGCCGTTCCTCATAAGGCATCGTTTCCAGGCCTTTGACCATTTTGGTTGCCCTCCTCTGGACACGTTCCAGTTTGTCAGTGTCCTTCTTGAACTGTGGTGCCCAGAACTGGACATAGTACTCCAGGTGAGGTCTGACCAGAGCAGAATACAGTGGCACTATTACTTCCCTTGATCTAGATGCTATACTCCTATTGATGCAGCCCAGAATTGCATTGGCTTTTTTAGCTGCCGCGTCACACTGTTGGCTCATGTCAAGTTTGTGGTCAACCAAGACTCCTAGATCCTTTTCACATGTACTGCTCTCAAGCCAGGTGTCACCCATCTTGTATTTGTGCCTCTCATTTTTTTTTGCCCAAGTGCAATACTTTACATTTCTCCCTGTTAAAATTCATCTTGTTTGTTTTGGCCCAGTTTTCTAATCTGTCGAGGTCGTTTTGAAGTGTGATCCTGTCCTCTGGGGTGTTAGCCACCCCTCCCAGTTTGGTGTCATCTGCAAATTTGATCAGGATGCCCTTGAGTCCATCATCCAAGTCGTTGATAAAGATGTTGAATAAGACCGGGCCCAAGACAGAACCCTGTGGCACCCCACTAGTCACTCTTCTCCAGGATGAAGAGGAACCATTGATGAGCACCCTTTGGGTTCGGTCAGTCAGCCAGTTACAAATCCACTGAGTGGTAGCATAGTCAAGACCGCATTTTACCAGCTTCTTTACAAGAATATCATGGGGCACCTTGTCAAATGCCTTACTGAAATCAAGGTAGGCTATATCCACTGAGTTCCCTTCATCTACCAGGCTTGTAATTCCCCCCCTGTGGGGGGGAAAGATATGGGGAGGGAATGACTGTGTGTGTGTGTGGAAATGGGATTCAGTTTGCATCGAAAGGTGAACGTGCCACATTTGCACTTTTCAAAACAATATGAGAACTGAAACGGAACCTGCCTTTGGAATTTGTAGTTCTCTATATCTTGCAGTAGGGACACGGGTGGCGCTGTGGGTTAAACCACAGAGCCTAGGGCTTGCTAATCAGAAGGTCGGCGGTTCGAATCCCCGTGACGGGGTGAGCTCCCGTTGCTTGGTCCCTGCTCCTGCCAACCTAGCAGTTCGAAAGCACGTCAAAGTGCAAGTAGATAAATAGGTACCGCTCCAGCGGGAAGATAAATGGCATTTCCGTGCTCTGCTCTGTTTCGCCAGAAGCGGCTTGGTCCTGCTGGCCACATGACCCGGAAGCTGTACGCCGGCTCCCTCGGCCAGTAAAGCGAGATGAGCGCCGCAACCCCAGAGTCGGCCACGACTGGACCTAATGGTCAGGGGTCCCTTTACCTTTACCTTTTATATCTTGCAGTGCTGTTCTTTGGCTAAGGAGGGTGCAGAAAAATGCACTTGCTAGGGGACAAAATGTATGTGTTAGTGAAAAGAGCGTGCAATAATGTGTTACATTTGGGGAAATGGCTTTGCAGAACTATTCCTTCCAGTAGCACCTTCTTCAGATACTTCTTCAGGTATCTGAAGACCTAATATATCAGACTGGCAAACACTAATGGTAGAATACTTGCAGCTAGCAAAGGTGACGGGAAGAGTTAGAGGCCAAACAAAACAAAAATCCACAAGGAATGGAGAATATTTAAAGAATATTTGAAGAACCATGGTATAAAGGGTAATCTCCTGGTAGACTTAGAGAGAGCCTTGTAGTATATTGTGTAATTGACAATTTACATAGAAATATGATAAAAAATAGAAGAAATAAGTAACTGTGCGATAAAAGTGTATTTAACAGATAACATACAATGAGAATGTTTGGAAGTGCATGCACACGGAAGCTCATGCCAATAACAAACTTAGTTGGTCTCTAAGGTGCTACTGGAATGATTTTTTTTTTATTTTGTTTCGACTATGGCAGACCAACATGGCTACCTACCTACATCTTGCAGAAATATGTGTTGAATGGTCTCTTTAAATGTGAAGGTTCATTATTGTTCCCCAAGATGTGTATGTCTTTAAGGGCCAGAGCAAATAGCGAGACCCAGTTTTACAGCTATGAAACAGTATAGCAGGTGCTGCTAAGCTGTGTTAATTAAGTTGTGTCAGCAGTTGGGTATAGTATATAAAGAGCAGCACCTAGCTCTCTCAGTACCCTGGTGGATGGGTCGGGTCTTGCTTGTTGAGATATTTAGTGTAAAAGGAGTTTTTGTTATTAAAACCTTGATAAAGTTATTTTTGAGTTCCTTGTAATGCGTGGTCTCACCAGCAAGCTTTCTGCAGCGCAACTAAACTGCAAATAGCCAACAGGCAACCCCCTGTTTTAGGGGCTACTGATATGTGCATGATAGCTCACAGCACCGATCCCGGAAGTAACCTGGAAATGTCATAAAAGGTGTTTCTAAAAGGGCAAAGCGGGGGAGGGATGGGCTGGCACGGGGTGCTTTCAGACTGTTTCAGTTGCATGCGATTTCACACAGGCTCGCAATGACCCGGAATGCAACCTGCAAGCAAATCAGGGGTTGCCTGTATATTAGGCATAACTGGGCACACCACGAAATATATGTATCAGCAGAAATCCACATTCTCAATAGTACTACTTTCGAGTAGATTTGTGCAGGACCAATGCAATGAACGTACGTAAGCATGAGCAAACCCTTCTGAGCTCTGAGACACCAGCTTCTTGGTGCTTAGGATTGTAGTCTGAATTAAAGGTACAAACGACACAGGAGATGAATAAAAATGAAGGCCCGGTGGTTTCCCCGAGGCATCTGGTGTCTGGGCAGGCGGCCGGTCCCTTTCCTAAGGTGCAGGATAGAGGACCAAAGATCTGATTCTCGCTCTGTCGCTTGCGGTTGCTTTTAGACAGAATGCACTGGCAGAAGACCCTGGCAAAGTCTTAATGCACGTGGACCTATCTGAATTGCCAGCAGGGCACTGAAGGTCTCAAGGAGGAGGACGAGGAATCTTGCCAACTTTCTTACGGTTTACGAAAGCACCCTCAGCTCGTCAGTTGGTGCTGGCCGCCAGGTGAGTGGCTTGATTTCTGAAGGTTTTCTGATTTACGGATACTGGGTTGTCCTGGGCAAAGGACAGGACAGGTAGCCGTGTTGGCTCAAGAAAAACGCCAGATCCATCGTCAGGCGAGGCTTTAATTAGACCTGCCAAATGTCACACAATAGCATTTCAACACTGTTTTTAACACTTTTCTGAGCTCTTAAGGCTAGAACTTATGGACTTCCAGAAAAACTGAATGTTGGAAGGTTCGGGACCAGGGCCAGATTTAGGTTTGATGAGGCCCTAAGTTCCTGAAGGTCATGGGGCCCTTTATATGTCCAGCTGTCCTTTGTCAACCACAAATAGTTGCTGTTTTTTGTGTTGAATATATGCTGTATGGTAATTTATGGACCTCATAGGTATCTCAGGTATCTCAGGGCATTTGCACATGTTTCCCTGCAACCAGTCCATGCAGAATGTAGGCACCCCTATATATAGAAAGGAGCAAACCAGGGATATTTGAGGGAGCAGGCGAGCAGGCGGGGCCCATGACTCACATCATAGGAGCCTACACAACACAAAACACTGTTTCTGCATGTAGGTTTTATTTTATTTGTTTTTTATATTTTTATATTTTGGAAATGTACATCCAGTTTTTCCCCCCTTTAATTTTTTTTGGGGCCCCCAAGAGAGTGGGGTCCTAAGCTAGAGCACGTTTAGCTTATACATAAATCTGGCACTGCTTGGGAGAGATGAAAGGAGGGACGCCTTCACGCAGCGCCTAATTAAACTGTGGAACTCCCTCCCACAGGAGGCCGAGACAGCCCACCTAGTGGCTCCATGGAATCGTAGAATTGTACAGTTGGGAGGGATCCTGAGGGTCATCTAGCCCAACCCCCCTGCAATGCAGGAATAAGAGGATCGCACAAATCCATGGGGCAGGAGAGGGCTATCAATGGCTACTACAGTCAGGGCCATCTTAAGCATATTCGGCGCCATGGTGCAAAGACCCCTCCGGCGCCCCCCCCGGCAACTCCAAAACAAGGGAGGGGGCGGTAGAAAATGTCCTCTGCCTCCCCCTCCGCCCCGATCCCTGGCGTGGCGGCAGAGATCCAGCAGGAAAACGTGCTGGCGGACATGCTCTCCGGGTCAGGGCGCCCGAGAAGGCAGGCTGGGAAGGCTGCACACTGCCTTTTGCCAGGAAGCAGAAGGAGGACAATGACCTCTGTGTGGATCGCTCTCCTCGTGCGGAGGCTTGGGAAGGAAGCTGCTGTTGGCTTTTTGCAGTTTGGTAGCGCTGCAGAGAGCTTGCTGGGGAGACCATGCATTAAAAAGAGACTCAAAAATAACTTAAACAAGGTTTTAATAAGAAAAACAAAAACTCCTTTTACACTAAATACATTAACAACCAAACCAGCCCCAACCACCAACCCATCCCCCAGGGTAATGGGAGAGCTAGGTGCTGCTCCTTATATACTAAACCCAAATGCTGACACACCTTAATCAAATACAACTCAGCAGCACCTGCTATGTTTCACAGCTGTAAAGCTGGGTCTCGTTATCTTGCTCTGGCCCCTTAAAGACATACACATCGAGTGGAACAATGATGAACCTTTACATTTAAAGAAACCATTCAACAGCTGCATGCCCGTCAGACATATGGTTGACGGGGCGCAGCTGGCAGGCGTTCAGGGAAAGGGAAGGCTGCCAGCAAAGCCGCACAGCTCCCCCACTCACTGGGGCGCCCCTGAGAGGCCAGTGCCCTGGTGCAACGAACCACTAACACCAATGGGGAAGAGGGCTTTGACTACAGTTGCAGGCACTGTGGGAATAGGATGCAGGACGAGATTCCTGCATTTCGGGGGGGGTGGACTGGATGACCTTTGGGGGTCCCTTTCAAATCTGATTCTATGACTAGATGGGCCATGGGCCTGATCCAGAGGGCTCTTCTTATGTTTTTGACGTTGAAGCAAGTGGGAGGACAGTGGGAGGAAACAAAAGTGGTTGATATCGTAGCCGCAGAGTTTTCATTTCGTCTCAGGGTATGTGGGAGGTGGTAGCAGATGATGAGATTAGGTTGCACCATGTGGGTGCCAGGGAGCCTCTGGGCTGCAACCCAGGCTTGCTGGGACAAAGAAAATGACAGGGGTCGATCACTTTTGAAACTGTAGCACCCAGCTGCCCCTTGGATCTTAGGGAGAAGGCACAGGTCATCTGGAAGATTGAGAACAGAAGCAAAAGTGAAACTAGACAACATTTATAGTAACAAAGCTGGAAATGAATTTTAGACCACATTCTTTCCACATTCAAGCGGCATATAAATTTCATGACATAAACACAAACGTTTCCAGGTGTTATTTGCACTAAAATAGCTCTTGCTAAGCTCAGTTTTCCCCTAATACATGCATTTTGCATGGCAGAATGTGGAATTTTAGACCATTGGGAGATAAGTGCTCTTCAATATGGTGTTATATCAGCAGCCAAACATCACAATACAATAGTACTTCCGGTTACGTAACCCTCTGGTGATGTAAACTTCAGGATGCGAAAGTGGCAAACCCGGAAGTATTTGACCGAGTTTCTCCCCGCGAACATGCGCAGAAGCTGTCCTCAGGCTGTAGAAACCTCGGGATTCGACCAAACCTCCAGAACGGATCCTGTCCGCAACTGGAGGTGCTACTGTATATTGATATACCATGATATCTGAAATAAGGAAGGAACTATGCAGAGGTGAACAGGTGAACGTCCTGGCAACTGCTACTAAACCGGATAAATGACAGTATTATCAGTCATCACACACTCAGTTTCATCAGCAGGCAAGCCAGAATGCATCCCAACAGGACTTTTGGTTTTGGACTTGGCTATCAAATGGTGATATTTGGATTAATCAGGTTCGGCAGGCAATGAAGAGCACATCTTTCCACCATGGTTAGCTAATTTCTGATTTCCACTTTTTATATGGTTCATATTTTTAGGTATGGTTATTCTGAGCCACTTTGATTTTTTTCTTTTTTGATGAATTAGCAGTATATGAATATTTTTCTATAAATAAGACTGATAAAGTGAGAATGGACAGATTAGCCCATCGCTCACTTGTCGTTCAGATTATGCCAGCAAATCTATGTATCCTTTCGTAGCATTGGATGCTGGGTAGGGATGGGAGCAGTTTGGTTCAGTTGGCATTTCAGGGTGAATCTTTAAATTCGGCGCTTTCCAAAGCAACAGGCAATCCAAAACTTGGCCGTCTTTCAAAATTTGCGCATATTTGAATTCTGCCATGCAAAATGCATGTATTAGGGGGAAACTGAGCTTAGAAAGAGCTATTTTAGTGCCAATAACACCTGGAAACGTTTGTGTTTATGTCATGAAATTTATATGCCGCTTGAATGTGGAAAGGCAAGAAAACCCTCAAAGGAGTTGAACCGCATTACATTTGGGGAAATTCCTTGCAAAAATATGCACATTGGTCAAAACTGCATGCAAGGATGTGCTCATTAGGAGAACATTTGCCCTGAAATGCTGCTGAAATTTCCACGAGGGTTTTCTCTCGCTAAAGAAATTGCAGATTGTTGCAGCGGGGTGGAGAACTGAATTTAATGTTGGAAACATGGCAGACTGAGGGAGCCGTGATGGACGAGCCCTTTCCTCCCTTGTACCGAATGGCCTTCTGCATTTTTCTGGGGCCTTAATATGACTCTGACTCACAGGCTCCAGTGGATGGCTACCTTGAGCTGGACTGGCTTGTCCTCGGCTCCTGAATGCTCCCAGAACTACCTAGGCAGGGCATGGGAAAAAGCACCACACGATCCCCGCAGTGCCAACACGCTCCTCTCCAAATGGTCCACACCCTTCCGATTGCTGCAGACAGTTTTCCCCCTCCTTCCCCGTTTGCTTTCCTGACAGCCGTGTGAATTTCTTCAGTGCAAATCCTCTGGCGGGATGTTCTGTGCTCTGCCTTTTGGCGCTTCTCCCTGCTGGATTCTCTGTTGATTTATGGATTCCGTTTGTCGGAGAGCAGAAATTGGAAGGGCGTTCCTCCCCCTCGTGGCGGGAGAAGCATCCTTGCTGTATCCAGACCTTCCTAGAGAAGCTTTCTGTTCTGAACGCCTTGTCTTTCCTTCTGAATGTGACCGTTGACCCAACTTGGTGCCCCAACTTGATGGATCTTCAGCTGTGGCTCGTGATCTGCAAGCAAGTCACTAGAACCGTGGGCTCGCTGAATTTTGGACGATTCAGGACAGATAGAATGAAAGGCCTTCTTCACGCAGCAGGAGACAATGATGGCCACCAACCTAGATGGTTCAAAAAGCTTTTCACAGAGGCGAGGAGCTGTGGCTCCTTGGACATGACACTGTATAGCTTCCTGGCCAACAGCACAGAGTGAAAGCTCATTAAATAACCAAGATCATCCAATCCCTCAGCAAACAATTTAGGAGGAAGGCTTGACAAATAGGTCATTGGGAAGCACCTCTCAGATCTCACGAAAATGATCGACCCATGCCTGGGCTGTAGTGCTTTAGGCCATTTGAGAAGTCCCACCCAAGGAGGGGAAAAAATGTGCATGTACAAAACCAAGATGTCAGGGACAGCTCCCCCCCTGAGTTGCTGACTTTCTGCATGCAAGGAAATTTTTACTTGTGGGATGGAGCATTGGTTTGAACTAGTTCATACCCTGTTTGAGTGACGACCCAACTGCTTAGAACTCTTTGTTCACACTCAGCGCCTGGCCAGAGGACAGACAACTTGACGGAGAACAGCAGCCGATAAAGAGTTTTCCAAACATGGGCATGAGAAGCAGAATGTTGCAAGCGTTTCATATTAAAGGAATTGTGGGCGAAATCTGAAAAAAAGAAGAAGAAGAAGAGGTTTTGAGTGTGTGTCCATGTGCCCCTCCCTCTCCCCCTCCCGGAGAGCTTCTGACTTTTGCAAAATAGAAGCAAAACCAGCCCCAAACAGAAAAAGTCAAACTGAAAACCACAGTCCCCAAAACCCCCCTTGAGACAACATGTTTTTGGTGCTGCGAGTGCATGCCT